TCTATCATATATTTATCTATGAAATACCTATAATATTTCTCCATTTCGTAAAATCGATATTTTCAAGAGTGAAAATAACTGAAAATAACACATTAGAGGTTTCTCTATATAGTGAAAGTGAGAAAAAGGTATTTTACGACATAATTTGCTTTCATATGTAATATGATAAACAGAATATTACATGGTCGCTTGAAGATACGAATTCTATCTTCTCTTGTTGAAAATCTCTCACTCACACCAGAAGATAAAATCCGTATCCCCGCGCGCCCATGTAATATCCTCTATAAATCCAAACACTGTGAATATATATGTTATAAAGAATAAGGAGTTTACAAATAAATAAACATTGTTAATGACCACTAGTACTAAAGGTGTCGCTTAATTATTTAGACGTAGATGATGTATGTGCAAGTAAACCATGCAAAAACGACGGCAAGTGTATTGCCAAAAACAATGGATATTCATGTGATTGTAAGCTTTTTCGATTTGGAGAAAAGTGCCAAGAAGGTAAACCTGTTTTCTTAGAATCTTATTATTTTAAAGTACAACTTTTTTTTCTTTTTTTTCTTTTTTTCTTTGTACTTTTCTTTGTTGCTGAATAATTGTTTTGCAATGTCTTCATGCGATTCTCTGCGCGATGTGACTGACGATTTCAATAATAAAGTCCAGTGACCACAAACAAAGAATAGAGCCGAGGGGACATGGTATACAGTGAGCATATAAGAGAGGAGGTTTGTCCTTAGTGTTCTTTGGTGTCCGGTTCAATGTTTTGTAACTGAACCACGGCGTGATGAAGCCTATAAACTAACTACCATCACATGAATTATAAGGGCATGCGCGTAACTTTTTCCTTCTTTGGGAATTTCCTATCAAATTTTTCGTTGACTTTGACAGCATCATTTTAAAGTTCTAAATGTTTACAATTGTTTATATATATATATATATATATTTTCAGGATTAAGTCTTGTCGTAGGTATCATTATCATCGTATTCAGTTGTATAGCTGTTGCGATCATGATTCTT